GTAGCGGAGGACGAGACGAGGGAGGGCGAGCGACGAGCAGCCGTGGAGGAAGCGCGTACGAGGTAAAAGGAGCGTATGCAGAAGAGAGGATGGATTGGAGGTGTATGTAGGTGTGGGAGTGCGATCCGGGGCGGAGCGATACGTGGAGGGAGACCGTGCAGGAAGGGAGGGAAGAGCGGGGCAGGACGCGGAGGGTGCGCAAAGGAGGGAGATGGTAGGACGCAGCGCAAGCGCGCAGAACGGGGGACGGACGTGGAGGGGCAGCAAGCGGTGATGGATAGGGGGCGGAGAGAAGGGTGGAGACGCGCAGAGGATTGAGGATGGGAGAAAGCCGCAGGAATGTGTATATGTACGCCCGGGAGGAAGATGGGAAGATTGGATGGGAGGGAGGAGCGCGGGTCGCGGACGAAGGGGAGCGCGAGAGGGAGGTATTGACGGGCGGAGAGGGAGGGAGGGGATGGGATGGGATGAAGCAAGGGGGCGCGTAACGGGGAGGGAGGGGGGATGGGATGACGCATGAAGGAGGATTATACGTATCAAAGGGACGAAGGAGCAAGGGGTAGGGGAGAGGGGAGGGACGGAATGGGACGAAGGAAGGGCGCGCATACGGGAGGTGTAAGCGCAATTCAGGACGGGGAGCGCGCAGGAAGGAGGATTGCGCGGGTATGGACGGGGGCGGGGGACGCGCACAGGGAGGATGGAATAGAAATAGGATAGACGGGAACAGAAACAGTGAGGACTGTCGAGGGTGGGGCGGACGGAGGGAGCATGGATGAGGGTTAGAGAGAGGGAGGGAGGGAGTATGACGGATGGGGGACGTAGCGCAAGGTGATGGTTATGAAGAGCGGAGAAGGGAGTTAAGTAGGGACCGCGATTCGGGGCAGAGGACGAGCGGAGTGAGAAGAGTCGCGGGCGAGGGGAGCGAAAACAGAAACAGCGAAGAATTTCGGGGGTGGGGACGGACGGACGGACGAGGAAGGGTTATACATATGAAAGGAGGGAGGAAGGGAGGGCGTATGTCGGAATGGAATGGGGACGTAGCGCACGATATGATGGCTGTCAAGAGCGGAGAAGGGAGGGGAGGGCGGGAGGGAGGGAGGGCGGAAGGGATTTAAGTGAGTGGGGCGCGATTCGGATTCGGGGGGCGGAGGAAGAGGAAGAGCGGGGGATGGATGCGCGCGCGAGGGGAGGATAGAAGCGCGCAGGGAGGAAGGAGGAGTAAGCACGAAAGGAGTGTACATGAAAGTGGGGAGTGGGAATGAAGCGCGCCTCGATATCGATACAAAGAAGAAAACCCACCTCCGAGTCCGAGCCCCCGCCCCACGGCGGCCACCCCGCACAAACAACCGCCCGCACGTACCGCGCCAGGTGCGGCGCGCGCAAGCTCCGCTCCAGCGCGGCTTTCCTCCACGCTGCGCGAGCTGCGCTTTCGTCGTCGCGGCGTGCGCCTGCGCCTGCGTCTCCCCACGGCCCGCCTGCACCCTCTCTCCCTCCTCCCCCGCCCGCTTCTCGTCGTGCCTCTCCCACGGCCCACCCGCCTCCCGTCCGCCAGCGCCCGCGTAACCCGTGGTATACAACGTGGTGTAGGCCCCCCTTAAATCGACCCCCCCATAAATCCTCCCCCGCGCGCCGGCACACACAACGCGGCACACGCGCGCGGCCGCGCACGCGTCGCGCAGCGGGAGGTGCGCGAGGACGCGCGCCCAGAGGGGTCCTGTGAGCGTGCGTGCTGGTTGTCTGCTCATCCCGTTCCCGCTGGCGAGGGAGGCGTCTCTGCGGGCGGTGTGGGATGACGCGGAGCGAAGGTTGTGGGTGGGGGACGAGGGCGGGAGAGACGAAAAGGACGACGGAGATGTTGGCGAGCGCGCGCCCGTGACGGGGGAGGACGCGGGCAACAGTAGCGCGCGCAGCGTGGGCGGGAGCGGCGTCGAGCGCGTGCGGGCGCGCGGGGCGGCGCCGGTAGCGAACGCAGAGGGCAGGCCGGACGCGAATCCCGAGCGCTCGCCCTCCGCTAACAGCGAACGGAGGGAGGCGGGGCGCCCTAGGCCTGCGGGGCGGCGGATGTCGTCTTCTTCTTCACCGTCTTCCTCGTCTTCGTCTTCACTCTCCTCCATCAAATCGGCTGCGCTGCGTCTCGCCCGCGCACCCACCCGCTCAGCGTTCGCGGCCGCGCCTTCGGGCAGAGACCTCAGCGCGCTGCGCGGCGGGCGGGGCGGCGCGGGACCACGCGTAGACGAGGAACCATGCGAAGGCGAGGGAGTAGGAGAGGGTGAAGGCGAGAGTGAAGGGGAGAGTGAAAGGGACGCAGCGCGTCCCAGCCCCGACGGGCGGCGGATGTCGTCTTCCTCCTCGTCCTCCCCCTCTTCATCTTCATCCACATCCACCCCGTGGCCCCATGCGTGCGTGGGCCGGCGCGTCGACGCCCGCTTCACGAGCTTCCCACTCCAGCGCACGTCCGGCGTCGATGCGGACGCGGGGGAGGCGGCGGTGCGTTTGTACCCCGCGAGGCCGAGGCCGAGGCCGTGGTCTACACCTGCGCGGCGCGTTAGCCTTGTAGTCAATGCGATGAAGGGATTGAGTACGTACTCTTCGAGGACGATGCGGTGGAGGAGGCGGCGGAGGAGCTGCGGAAGAGGGAGGAGACGCGCCGGATGAGGCCCTTGTCCTTGTCCTTCTCTTTCTCTCGGCTCTTTCCGTTCGGTGTACTTCCCACTGCGCGCCCGTTGACATGCTTCTGCACCTGCACCCCGTTGGTCTCCGCGCGCACGCGCAGACTCGCGCGCGTGAGACCAAGCGGGAGCGGGGGGACGTCGTCTTCCTCCGCGTCCCCCTGCGCCTCTGAATCCGGCGCCGACGACGACGATGCGAGCAGCGCCGCGAGCGAGCGGCGGCGGCGCAGCATCCCTCCCAGTTATCACTTCGGCTAGTACACTTCGAATCCGTTTGGCGTTCCCGCACGTGAGAGCCCCTAGAGCAGCACCAGAGACAGGGGCGGACAGGAAGAACGACCAGAAAAAAAGCAGATTGGAGGACAAGCGGAGGATTGGCGAATTGAATTTGTGGAGCCCGAGGTCGGAAGATCGCCTTGACGACCGACGGATCGGCCGGAATAAAATCAATTAACTGGATCAAATGAGCTCGCACGCGTGGCGGCGCGTGTGTGCGTGTCGTAAGCCTTGGGATGGCGACTGCGCGCGCGTTGGTGATGGCGGGGGGCGCAAGGGAAACTAGAGGTGGACGTGTGAGCCATCCTGCCGCGTCAAACTGGCGGGTCTAAGTGGAGCGCAAGTCAGCTGTCGTGCAGTCCGTCCGCCACGACCAGAACCAGAGGGAACGTGTGTCTCACCTCACCTCGCTTTCCTCAGTCTAGCCTTGGATGGTATAGATCTCCGTCACGAATCACCCGGATGTCGCTGTCCGAGTCCGTCGTCAGTCTTTCCCGGCGATGATCAGTCAAGGAAAACGCGTACCAGAGGCGATGTGCAGCAGGGCTATGGGCGCGCGGGGAGAGCAGAAGGAGAACCCTTGCAGAGGAAGGCATCGATCGTGGGTCGGTCAGTGTCCGTCAGTGTTCGGCTAACGACACGCGCTGCACAGCCACGCGGCGTCGATCACGCATTTACCGCGGCCGGGTGCAGCCGGGTGCGGTTCTGGGCGGGAGCGGCCGAAGTTGCAAGCCCTGTCTGCAAGATCTGCGAGACCGCGCTGAGTAACTCAATACGACGAAGAGGGGGAGCAGCTAATTATGAAGAGGACGAGATCCGGAAGAAAAATGCGTCATCCGGTGGCTCTTACGACCCAGCCTGGATTCGAACCAGGGACTCCTGCGTTCAATCAGGCTATCTGGTACTGTGAGCAGGTGCGATTCCTTCGCCACTAGGTCTCTTTCCTACCACAATGAAGCTCACTTTATTATCAAAATCACAGAGCGCGGTATCTAAAAGGAGCCTAAGACCTAGCCTGGAGTCGAACCAGGAGTTCCTGGCTCGACTCTAGGCCAACGTTGCAGTTGTAGCAGGTGCGATGCCTTTCGCCACTAGGTTTTCTTCCTACCACAACGAGCCCCATCTTATTATCAAAATCGGAGGGCGACGTGTCTAAAAGGAACTGGACCCATCCAATAAGACCTAGCCTGGATTCGAACCAGGGACTCCTGCCTTGAATCAGATCCGCGCCAACTTTGCAGTTGGAGCAGGTGCGATGCCTTTCGCCACTAGGTCTCTTTCCTACCCAGATGAACCCCATGTTATTATCAAAATCAGGCAGTGTCAATGCGGAATTCAAAAATTCAAGACACTCCAATGACGAAGGACCTAGCCTGGGCTCACACCAGGATTTCCTACCACGTAAGTACCTCGGGATGCAGTCTAATGCGTGCGGGTGCAATTGCCTTCGCCACTAGGTCTCTTTCCTACCAAATTGAACCGCAGTTTATCGCCCAAATCAGGCAGTGTGGAAGCAAAAAGTAAAGATCCAATTCAATAAGATTTAGCCTGGAGTCGAACCAGAGACCCCTGCCTTCATATCGCATGGTTAAAACATACTTTAAGCAGGTGCGATTCCCTTGGCCACCAGGTCTCCTTCCTACCCAAATGAACCTCATTTTATCATCAAAATCACAGAGTGAGGACTGTAAAAAGACACGATTCCCAATGCTAAGACCTAGCCTGGAGTCGAACCAGGATCTCCGGCCGTATTATCCTTGTATCAAGCGATCATTACTGAAGGCAGGCGCGATGAGTTCGCCACCAGGTCTCCTTCCTCCCCTCATTAATCCCGTTTCTATCGTCGAGGACAGGTTGAGGACTGCAATTTTCTTTCTTCAGCACTAAGACTAGCCTGGATTCCAACCAGGAACTCCTCCTGCACCTGCACTCCACTCCGCAGTCGGAGCAGGTGCAATTCCCTTCACCACTAGGCCTCTCTCATAGCAGTATAACCTCCCATTTGTGAGGGAGACTTTTAGGCAGAGAGGAACCAAAAATCGATTGTAACTCGCAAGACCTAGCCTGGGGTCGAACCAGGATCTCCTGCTGCACGTTGTGATCGACTCTTCAGTGGGAGCAGACGCGATTCCCTTCGCTACTAGGTCTCCTTGCTACCAAAGTGAACCCAAATTCATTGTCAAATCACAAGGCGAGGCTCAAAAGAACAGATACCCGCCGCAAGCCAATCAGGACCTAGCCTGGACTCGAACCAGGATCTCCTGCCTTTATTCAACACATACGGTCATTGTAAGTGTGAACAGGTGTGATCCCTTTCACCACTAGGTCTCTTTCCTTCCACAACGAGCCCTATTTTATCATCGAAATCAGACAGTACGGAATCCAAAAGATTCAAACTACCAAGTATGACCTAGCTTGGAGTCGAACCAGGAACTCCTACCACGTAAGTACCTCGGAGTGCAGTCTAATGCGTGCAGGTGCGATTGCCTTCGCCACTAGGTCTCTTTTCTACCAAATTGAACCGCAGTTTATCGACCAAATCAGGCAGTGTGGAAGCAAAAAGTTAACGTTCAATTCAATAAGACCTAGCCTGGAGTCGAACCAGTGCCTCCTGCCGGTACATGACACTGGCATTCCACTGTAGGCAGGTGCGATGCCTTCGCCACTAGGTCTCCTTCCTACCAGATTGAACCCCACTTTGTTATCAAAGTCCCAGGGCGAAGACTGCAAAAAAGACGTGATTGCCAAATTAAGACCTAACCTGGAGTCGAACCAGGAACCCTTGCTTCTGCCTCCATCTGGAGCATTCATGGCACATCGGAAGCAGGTGCAAGTCCCTTCACCACCAGGTCTCTCTCTTACCAAATCTAGTCCGCACTCATTCGTAGAAATTGAACACAGCGGACGAGCCAAAAAACCACGACTAGCAGTCAACGCAAGACCCGACCTGGAGTCGAACCAGGAACTCCCTCCTACACTTATCATCGCAAACAACCATCGAGGGCGCGATTCATTCTGCCATCGGGTCTCATTCCACTTGACCTGTCCCTACATACATACATCCCATCTTTTTTTGTGTGTGACGTAGATTGTCGACCGACAAGCCCACGTTAGGAATTCCTGCTGTGCATTCAAAAAACCTCCCACTATAGGCAGGTGTGATTCCTTCAATGACTAGGTCTCTTTCGTACCCAAATGAACCTGATGTTCTTATCGAAATCAGACAGTGCGGAATCACTGCGTTCCCACCCCATGTAGACAGAAGGTCCGTCTACCCTCGTAGACGAAGGGTAGATGGAACCCTGTGTCTACCTGTGTCCACACCATGTAGACACAGTAAGTCGACATTGGTCTACATAGCTGTGCATTCATTCGCTCACCTACACCGACGTAGACACACGTAGACCGACGTAGCCGCACGTAGGCGGATGTAGACACATGTACACGCACCTGAGTCAATTTGGGGCTCCAGAATGGGCTGAGGAAACTCAAAGAGAATCAAGTTGAAGTGTGGAATTTCTCAAGATTTCAAGTAAATTTCGAGATTTCGCAGCGATGGATCATCATTGATGGCTGTGATTGGCAACGGCGGATCAATGATGTAGGCTCGGACTCCGAATCATTATTAACTTGGCGCTTACCGACGCACCTATGAAGCAGCGGGATGCCCAAAGAACGGTCATTTGAACTTACTTATTTGCAAGATGGGGGCAAATCTGCGTCATGAAGTTGAGCGAGGTGGGTCCACATATGTCTACCGCGTAGACTTACGTAGCCGACGGGTAGATGGACCGTGTCTACGGCATGTAGCCGGACGGTAGCCGGACGTAGATCAAGCTCGCCACAGGTCTCGGTGTACACATAGGTAGCCGGACGTAGCCGAAGATCGCCGCATGTCGCCGCATGTAGAACTACGTAGACAGAGGTCGGTCTACGGGGGGTGGGAACGCAGTGAATCCAAAAGATTCACGCCACCGAGTATGGCCTAGCCTGGAGTCGAACCAGGAACTTTTGCTTCGTATAACGACGATGCGCTACTTTAGGCAGGTGTGAATCCCTTCACCGCCAGGTCTTACTTCTACCGAAATGAACTCACCGTCATGAGCACGAATTGCAATATAAAAAGCCCGGTGGCGAATCGGATAATACGGGCGACCAACGGTGGAAGAAGGTGCCATTTATCTCACTAACAGGTCTCTCTTCTACTCAATTAACTCACCCTCGTGGTTAAGAACTGTAGGCATGGACTAATTAAAGAAATATTGAAGGACAAGACCTAGCCTGGATTCGGACCAGGATCTTCTGCCTCCATCTGCGAAATTCAGGGCAGGTGCGAGTCCCTTCACCACGAGGTCTCTTTGGTACAGAAATGACGCCCACTCTATGGCCAAAATCACAGAGCCAAGACTGCAAAAAGACATCATCCCCAAAGTAAGACCTAGCCTGGATTCGAAGCAGAAACTCCTGATGCCATAAATCAACGTGACGATTGAAAGCAGGTGCGAGTCCTCCCGCCACTAGGTCTTATTCTCACCAAGATAAATTCGCCTTCATGAGAATTGTAGGCAGAGAGGGAGGAAAAACAGATAACGTGTCTGCGCCAGCCGACACCTGGCCTGGAGTCAGACCAGGAACTTTGCTTCTGCCTCTATCTGCGACATTCAGGACAGCTGCGATACCTTTTACCACCGGGTCTCTTTCCTACCAACTCTAGCCCGAACTCATTGCATTGCCAAAAATTGAACACAGCGGACGAGCCAAAAAACCACGACTGGCAGTAAACGCAAGACCCGACCTGGATTCGACCGAGGGACTCCCTCAGGCACATGCCTTCATAAACTAACCATCGAGGATGCGACTCATTCCGCCACCGAGTCTCCTACCTCTTGAATTGCACTTGCAGATGTGCAAAATTTTTGGCGTGCGACGTCCGGGAAATGATCGCTAAGGAGCAACAGATGGCCTGGATAATGGGCTCGAACCAGGGACGCCTGTCTTCAGTTATGAAGTCCAAAACTGTGAGCATCGCCACCACAGTAGGTCCGTTTTCCTTCTTACGAAAATGAGCCCGGCTTACAGCTGATCTCGAAACTAACTGCCCCACAGCTTCTGTCTCCATCGTTTTTGTGGATCATTGGGTATGGGGCCTGTCTTTCAGTTGACGCTTCAGTGACGACTCACCGTGGATGTGAGAGGCAATAATTAATGGAGGATGCGGTGCCCACATCTGTAGGACCCAAAGTGGCCAGCCATATATTATTAGGTTGGCGTAATTTGATCAATTACAAGCGGTTCCTGGGCCTAGGATCCTCTTCCGTTAGCTGTCGATTTAACCGGTCGGTTCATTTTGAAATACTCACTTCGGCAACAAAGCTTTTACTGTCAGTGCGGAGTGGAGCCGAGTTGAGTTGATATTCATCATCAGACTTTTGACAAATAGCTTGTGAGCTTGTACAAGGCCAAACAAGGCCATTCAAGGTCAATCAAGCCCGCAATCTCGCAAGCCCACAAACCATGTCCCAACTCTCACAAGGTCGCCAAAAGGTCGCGGGATCGACTCTGTCTCGTGGCGCAAATTGGGCATAAATTAAACCTAATCCCTGTGCATGAGTGATGAGAAATTGCGGAGGACATCCTCCGATTTTTCAAGACATCTTCCGGTTTTGTAGTGAATTCTACGAGAGGTGTGTTTCTGCGCTTTGACTCCTTGTGAGCTTGTCGGAAGTTGCCGACAGGCTCACAAGGCCAAACAAGCCACAAGTTATTTGTCAAATGGCTGATGATGGGTAACCGTAGTACCTAGCTATCATCGAGGAATCTGCGGAGATTTGTGAGTATATTTGAAGGAGAAGTGATGGAAGGTGATTGTGGGGCAGCGGCACGCATCCGAATCAGAATTCCAGCCGTTGGCGCCAGGAGCCGCCTCAGCGGATTGCTCCGGCATTAGGGAATTGTTGAGCCGTCATCAAACGAAGCCATCGGAGTTTAAAAGGCTTCAGACGAACGGACATGCGTAATTTTATAAAGAGGGAGATTCTAAAGAGAGAGATAAGGAGACAAGTGATCAAGGGATCGGCCACCTTCTTTCCGAAGGTTTAATGCTGATTTCCAGACTCTCGGAGCTGATGAGCCAAGATCGGAGCTTAAAAGGCTCGGGGTCATCCGGAGTCAAATTGTGTCGGTGATTTTGCATTTTAAAACGAAAGCTGGACTTCATGATTAAACATGCCCTGGATACAACGGGAATCGCGCCAGCAATTGCTCGATATCAAGAACCTTCCACGGTCGTCGGGGGCGGTGGGAAAGAGTATCGGAAATGAACAGTTAGATTGGCCGGATGGAGCGCATGGTATATAGTTCTATTTCAGTCCCATCCACGCTGCATCTACATGTTCCTCTGCTCGCGCACATCTCCAGGCTGCGAACCAAGTCCGCGCTTTCGGAGATGTTGATGCCGCATCCCCGCCGGCGTCTGGGGTGCGGTCGTGTTCTGCTCGCACCGTCATAAAAGGCGCAACGGGTGATTTTAAGCAGCACAAGTGGTGTGAGGGTCGAGTAGCTACAGGCGTCGCTGGAGCCAGCGACGCTTGGATCATATGCTAAGACTTTAATAAACTCGCGGCAGAGTGCTGTTTATCGCCGGTGTCTAAGCTCCTTCACACCCGGAAGGGACATATCGAGCCATCTTTCATTAATCTAATTTCGGCATCGCCTTGTGGCGTAACCTGGACATGGACACCTCGCATGCACGAGGAATCCGTATGCTGAAACGCCCCGCACGCGTCAGGGCCGCACATATAACGGCCTTCATCGCCAAGCTGTCTCTCTTTCCGATCCACCACCATCTGGCGAAAACTCTCTAAACTGAATCTCATTTGAACAACCCGGAACAACTCATGGAGGACACTGCAATTTCGAGTCCAGTGGGCATATCTGTGATAATTGTTCTGCGAAACATTGGAGAAAGTACTGACATAATGCATAGGATTGTGAAAGTATGGCCTCGGACACCCAGGGAATTGCGTTGACATCTCCCAGTAATGAAGCTGTGAGTTACTGCCCTTCTTCAGCTGAGTTTTTTGAGATAATAGAAACAGGAACATGGTCAGAGCAGAGTGAATCCTGTAAAGTGCATGCAACAGGAGCAAGATGAGAATCCGGAAAATGAGGCCACTGGATACTTCAACATGCCCCATGATCTCCTCTTGGAATGTAAAGCATCTGGCAACATTTCGAGCCTGAACACAGCCATCTATCTTCTTGAATGTGCTGCCTTTGGCTGGCCTCCCGGAGACAAAGAATTCCCCGACTGTATGAACCATCTTGCAACGGCCTTGTTGATCAGGTTCATATACACTGCGGATGCAAAGGATGTTCTAAAGGCTGTAGTGCTACGCTTGAGTGCCTTGGGACATCAAATTCAAGACTTTTTACAATCCATGGTATGGCAACATATTCATAATTTTTATTTATGAGAAGTGAAATATCTTCAGGTCCAGGACAGGCATGAATATGTGACCTGCAAGGACATGATGACAAGTGCTGTTATGCTGGTCAAAGAAGTCCTTCAAGCTCATGACCAAGCAACATTGGAGACTGCTATCCTGTTATATCAAGAAGGATTGAAACTAACCCCTGAAACACATTTTCAGCGGTGGAGGATACTTTGGGA